ATGCTTATGTTGAACTCTTGCAGTTCTTTAAATTTTCTGTACTGCCAATTCTGTCCATCTTGCTTCCTCAGCTAAAGGTCTTCTTGCATCCTTAGAAGCGTCATGCTCTCAAGACAACTTTTTGGACTTCCTGTAATTTGAGAAGTGATGTGCAATTGACACTCTTTACATTCATGACCAGTTATCAACAAACATTACTTGTGTTATCGAACTGAAGTGAAGTAAAATGGAATGGAATGGAATGCAGTTACCTTGATTTGGAAGAAAATAAGACACATATTAGGAAAAAAATAGGATGGAAAAATCTCTCTTGAATGTGACAGGGACATCGTGTTGGGTGATTTAGAGAACTCATAGAGTCGGTGAGATTTTGGATATTGTAGGTGTTAAGGTAGAGGAGGTTAAGGATGCTATGTGTAAGATGATCCAGGGAAAGAGCAATCGAACTTGATGAAATTCCGGTTGAGTTTTGGAAAAGCATAGACAAGGCAAGTTTTGCGTGGCTGCTTGGGTTGATTAATGTCATTTTTAAGACATCTAAAATGCCTGGCAAACGGAGGTGGAGTACTATGATTCTGTTGTACAAGAATAAGGGTGATATCCATAATTGCAACAATTACATGGGTATTAAACTGTTGAGTCACACCATGAAAGATTGGGAAAAGGCGGTGGAGACGAGGGTGAGGACCTGTTGCATTCATGCCAGGGCAATCAACTACGGAATGCATTCATCTTGTGTGGAGACTAATGGAGAATTATAAGGAGAGGAAATGTGATTTGCATATGGTGTTCATTGACCTTGAAATGGTCTACGACAAAGTTCTAAAAAAAATCCTTTGGCGATGCTTGGACTCTAAAAGTGTATTGGTGGCTTACATTAGGCTGATATAGGTCATGTATGATGTAGTCAAGACACGGGTAAGAATGGTGGGAGGAGACTCCAAGCATTTTCTAGTTGAGATGGGGTTGTACCAGGGTTCAGCGCTTAGCCCTTCTATTTGTATTGGTGATGGATGAATTGACGCAACATATTCAAGGTGAGGTGCCATAGTGTATGTTGTTTGCAGATGACATTGTTTTGATCGAGGAGACTTGTGGCAGAGTTAACAGTAGGTTAGAGGTGTGGAGACAAACTCTAGAGTCTAAAAGGGTTCAGGTTGAGCAGGACCAAGATAGAGTATTTGAAGTGTAAATTCAGTGATGTGTCGCATGAGGCAGGCGTGGAGTTGAAACTTGATACACAAGTTGTCCCCAAGAGAGAAAGATTTAAGTATCGAGGTCTTTGATCCAAAGAAATTTGGAGATCGACAATGATGTCACACATCGTATTAGTGCGGCTTGGATAAAGTGGAGGCTTGCATTCGGAATATTGTGTGACAAGAAGTACCACCAATACTTATAGGTAAGTTTTATAGAATGGTGGTTAGACCAGCTTTGTTATATGGGGTGGAGTGTTGACCAGTCAAGAACTCTAGGTTCAAAAGATGCAAGTGGAGGAAATGAGGATGTTGAGATATATGGGTGGGTATACCAAGAGCAATATGATTAGAAATGAGGATATTCGGGACAAAGTGAGAGTGACCTCTGTGGTGGACATGTTGAGGGAGGTGAGACTGAGATGGTTTGGGCATGTGAAGAGGAGATGTGTGGATGCCCCAGTAAGGAGGGGTGAGAGGTTCTATATTTTGGGGCCAAGGAGAGGTAGAGGTAGACCGAAGAAGTATTGAGACATGATTAGATAGGTGATAGCACAACTTCAGCTTACCAAGTACATGACCATAGATAGGAGGGTATGTAGGTCACATATAAGGGTAGAAGGTTAGTAGATAGTTGGGAGTTGTCATATTACTAGCCTATTCATGTATTTGTATCGTCCACCCGTAACCCAGCAGATAAAGTACATTACATAGTCCAGGGATTGGCGACTTACCCATTCAGTGACTTCGTGGTGGTAGTATAGAGCACTGTGTTGGTCGTAGTATTAGCCTTTTCATCTAGTCGGTGTATTTTGGTATCAGTGATCATCCATGGTTTAATGTATTTAGGTGATTGCACCTTGTTGTTGTTGTTACGATTCCTTGCGTATATGCTCCATAGTGTTTTACTATTAGTTTTCATGTTGCTCTCCACTTGCCATTTTTCTTGTAATTATTTCTTTGATTTGCTTGAGTCAAGGGTCTTTCAGAAATAGCATCTCTACCTCGGAGAGGTAGTGGTAAGGCTTGCGTATACTCTACCCTCCTAAACCCCACTTTGTGGGATTTCAATGGGCATGCTGTTGAGATGCTTGTTTTGCAAATTCTTGGAAGCTGAACTTTTAGACTTTTTTTCTGGTGGATGCACTATACGGCCAAAAGCCTGGTGCAAAAATGAATTTCGGAAAGTAGGATGGAAGCCATTCTACATAATGTCCAACCCTATAGATGGCACCCTTGAAAGCATTATATTTTTCTCTTTTTGGGATAGGTTACTGATTAATACTATTGGTGCTTATTTCAATTTAATGTTCTCCTAATTTCCTCTTCTTCCTAAATATACAGCGGAGGCTGAAAGAATTCGTAAATGTAGAGGGCGTGTTTTTTCTCTTCGCGATGAACCAGAGGTTGCTAGAGTGTGGTTGCCAAATAGCGACTCTCCTGGACTTGCCATGGCACGTGCTTTTGGAGATTTTTGCCTCAAGGATTTTGGTCTCATCTCTGTGCCTGAAATATCATATAGGCGTTTAACGGGAAAAGATGAGTTCATTGTTCTGGCAACTGATGGGGTATGAAACTTGAGTTTTTAGTACTTTGTATTCCCTTTGTGTTAAAAAAAATGTATACACAGGTTCTGGTATTTTATTTTATTTTTGAAACTTCACAGGTTCTGGTATTTCTTGCTCAATGTTTATTACATATTATTTATCCTAGTCAAAAAATAATTTTTATGACAGATATGGGATGTACTTACAAATGATGAAGTTGTAAAGATTGTCGCGTCTGCTTCATCCCATTCGTCTGCAGCTCGATCTCTAGTTGAATCAGCTGTTCGAGCCTGGAGGACAAAATACCCTACTTCTAAAGTTGATGATTGTGCAGTTGTTTGCCTTTTTCTTGATTCAAACTCAAACAACTTGTCCACTGCTTCCAATACAAAAGACAGTGACAAGACTGTCTCAATGAAAGCAAATGAAGTTGGTGCTAAGATAGATGATACCTCTGGTCCAACTGCATTTCCTCGTTCTGGAACTGTTCGAGAAGTTGAAGTTTCAGGAGAAGGCGATGACGTTTCAGAAGAAGAGATAGAGGAAGCATCAGAACATGAGGAACTGCTCTCAGAGGTGGGGGCGGAATGGTCTGCACTGGAAGGGGTTTCCCGGCTGAACACATTATTGACACTGCCAAGGTTTGTGCCTGACAAGGACGAGAATTAAACTGTTTGGAATCGAACTCAAAGAAGCAACAGAGGGTGAGATTTCAAAGTTTGGATTTATTTCTTTTGGTTATTTTTCAATTTTATTTAGTTCCATCCATTTTAAGGTCTCACATATCTATCTACTGGGAGGAAAAAAAAAATAGGGGCATTTTATATTTGTTGTAGACTGGAGAGGTGGCCCCAGCTATATTAGAGTGTCTGGGAATCATCCATTCTCTTCCTAGTGTTGGTAAAAGTGGAATTTTGTAAAAACCAACTCTCCTGTCTTGGTTGCTAGCTTTCTTTTCTTTCGCATATATACCAAGATTGTGTACCTTATCAAAGAGATATCGAGATTGTGTGTTTTTCCATCATTGTTATGTTGATTAATAATGTGTGGTAGTGCGTGCAGTCCTCTTTTTGGTTCAAGTTGCAGATTATGTTCATCTCTTTGATCAACATTTGCACTTGTTAATTTATGGGGTTGAGATGTTTTAGTATAACATTTGCTTTATTCTTTTGAAAATACTTACAAAAGTCAGGCATGAATATAAAGTAGAGAGAACACACCTCATCTGGAAATAGCTCAAGATGTGAAAATCTGTAAGTCATCAGTGTACACGAGACGAATTCCCCAACTTTTTAGGAAAATATGTTTCCTCAAAGAGTTTGCAGAAAAATCGATCTGATACCAATTGTTTGGGCTGTCTATGTGGTTTTTGTACATTGACCAATAGTCCTCAAATGGCACATAGGCAAGACATGTGTGATCTGAAGCAACATTCTTGTTTGTCCCTACAAAACCAATGTTCATTAGGCAACTCGTGCTCCTCCGGAGGTGGCTTTTGATTGTAAACTCAATCGAAATGCCTGGCATTTCCTGTAGGTAACCTTCATGAACTGATAACCATGTTGTTTCAAGGTCAGACACAACACAGATGGCAAATCCCATGAATTTATCATTGTACCAATCGTTTGGCAGCTGCATTGAAACTGAAGTTCCGTTGAGTTTGTAGCCAAACCATTCTGGAACTTGTTCTCCAGGTAGGTAAATGCTAAAGTGACCACTTTTAACAATGCACTTCTGCGGCACAAAATCACAACATTCATGTTAGTTAAGAGACTCTTTATCTATTGTACTTCCTTAAACTCATGGTGATCAATTGTCTGATCTCGAATATGAACGTAAAGGGTACGAAGATAACAATACATAAGGATGAAGACGTAAGGAGACCTTGAATAGGTGAAGCCACAATGAGGTAGCCATGTCATGCATCTGCTGATTCTCAAGTAGTCCAACACAATTAGTGAACGATATTCGCTGCAACATCTTGTAGTTGGTCAATATTCCTACATTATCAGTCATCAGGGATGTACAATTATCTGCAAAAACTTCCTCTATTGTTGTTGGAAGTTCTGGCAACCTTTCAAGCCTCTCACAACTCACTAGCTCAAGGATTCTGAGCCGCGGAAGCATGTTGAGACTTGCTTGAGAGATATCCACAAAATTATTCCCACTAGGATTAGCTCAACCAAAGATGACAGGCATCCAAGATCACTAGGAATTCCTTCATCCAACATACAACAATCACTAAGATCCAATTTCCTCAAAGAAAATAAACTGGAAAAGGAGTTGGCTTTTGATTATGTTTTCTTGGCCGAAGCCATGCCAAGAAAAGTGAATTCCATGTCTGAGATACCATGCCTTTACATCCATGAAAAGATAAGATCTTAAGGTTCTTCAATAGTGTAATTGAGGATGGTGGGCTTCGAATGGCAGTTTCGTCACAATAGAGTTCCTCCAAGATTGCTATATGTCCTAGTTCCTCTGGCAACTTTTCTAGTTTTGAACATCCAGAGAGAATAAGAATCCTAAGAGATTTTAATCTGCCTATGGTTTTTGGTAAATTTGTAAGATTCCTGCAGTAGCCTAGATTCATCAATTGAAGGCCAGTGAGACGTTCAATTGATGAAGGCAACTCTTTTACATCTGTAGCTTCCAAGTAGACCTCAGATAAGCAATTCATGTCACTCGTGATTTCTGGGAAATTCGCGAGTTTCAAGCAGCCAGAAAGAATTAAAGTCTCAAGATTATCCAATCGAATATTGTTTGGAAGGCTCTTAAGATTCCTGCAGTTCTTCAGGTTTAGTAGAACAAGATTTTTGAGATATCCGACAGAAGGGTGGATCTCAATTATACTCGAACAATCTTCAAGAACCAACTTCTCGAGATTGGGCACCCCCGTGAAATCTGGACAGCTGACTAGCTTTTGGGAGTGACTAAGGTTGAGAAACTTCAGTTTGTGTAGGACCTTTATTCCCTTCCACAAGTGTACAACGCGGCTATACTGCATTTTCAGACAAACAAGCCTTTCTGCTCGAAAACCTGCTGGAAGGGACTTCATTGGGTAGCCATGCCAATGAAGCCATATCAATTTATTAGGAAGACAATCTGGAGCTACGGAGACACTTGCATTGTGCATCTTGAGCAGCCTCAGGTTGTCCGTATATTTGAAGGCTTCTGCACCAACATTTATGTCTTTCGGAATAGGCAAGTGCAACCATATGCCTTCCACAGCTTCTGTGCCCTATAAAAGGAATGAAGTGTAACATTAGGGAACTACGTATTTAACTTCTCCTGAACGATCAAAACGTGTTTCATGCTGCAGTATATACTTACCGGATTTTCAGATAGTACATGAAGAATATCATCGGGAGACCAGAGCCTAGTATACTTGCCAAGATTGTTTGAAGCTTCTTTGCGAACAATATACCAACCCATCTCTTGGATCAACTGATGCATCACAATCCGACCTTTTGAAACAGTTACAAGAGATTTTTCGATGAGATTTCTTATGCCAATGACAGGAGTAAAACTGAAACTACGAAGAATTCTAATTACAGAACCTTTCTTCTTCCCTTTAAAGAAACATGCAATATCTAAGAAGATCTTTTGGTCAATCTCACTTAGTCCATTGAAACTTACTTTGAGTTTTTCTACAATTTCGCCTTCTGGAATTTGTTTTAGTCTCTCCACTGTTTCTCTCCATTCAATCATGCCTCTGCCATACAGAGAGGAACCCAAAACTTTAAGAGCTAATGGAAGACCACCAGCATACCGAACAACTTCAGCTATGATCTCTTCATATCCACTTTTGGGATGGTGTTTCTGGAATGCATATGAACTAAGGAGTTCAATACTTTCATCAGTGTTTAACAGACTCACTTTATACATTTTGTCCACGTTATATTGACGAAGCAACTGCTTATCCTTTGTTGTTATGATGATTATACTGCCTGCACCAAACCAGTCATGGCTTTTAGCTAGGGCATCTAACTGGTTTCCATGATTGACATCATCAAGAACAATTAGGACTCGTTTCCCATTTAGTCGTCTTCTTACCAAGCTGGTTCCTTCAAATACGTTGTTTATTCTTAGATCTTTTAACAGAAGTAGTTCAGAAAGAAGTATCTGCTGCAAATGTTGGATACCATGTTTGGCTGAATTTTCTCCAACTTCATGAAGGAAAGTAGTACCTTGAAAGTAACGGAAAATCTTGTCGTAGATGGCTCTTGCTATAGTTGTTTTCCCAATTCCGCTCATTCCCCATATTCCAACGAATTGAACTTTATCAGACTCCAGATTCAACAAGGAATACACCGTCCCCATTCTTGAGCGTATTCCAACAAGATTTTCAGTAGCATCAGAAGCAGAATGATCTAATATCTCCATGACACATTCTACAATTTGCTCGATACATTTTGATTCGTGCCTGATATCAGAAAGAATTGAGTTACAAACTCGATGTTCTTATGGAAAACAACACACAGATGGAAGACGGAAAACCAAGAGTGAAAAGTACACATAAATTTACCCGTTAGCAATATTTGGCAAATCCCAACCAGATACATTTGCTGCTTCTGTCATAGCAGTACGCCATCTCTTCACCCTTTCTTCATCATCTTTGAAATCTAACTCATGTTTAGCGAAGAATTCACCAACGTTTGCCTTTTGTTTTCTTACGACAGATGGATCCACGTCATAGAAGACAGGAAGAACAATCTGTCCCCTGAGTTTCATGCATTGAGTGATCTTAACTAGCTCATCTAGACACCACGAAGAAGAAGCATAGTTTTGAGAGAATATGATGATGGAAATCATCGACTCTTCGATGGCTTTGAAAAGTGAAGGTGAAATAGATTTCCCTCTTTCAAGTTTTTCATCATCTTTAAAAGTGTGAATTCCTCTTTGCTGCAAAGCTGTATATAGATGATCGACGAAATTCTTCCGTACATCCTCTCCTCTAAAACTTAAGAAAACATCATAAGTGCATGGCCACAAAGAAGAAGAAGAAGAAGAAGATGATCCTGTTTCAGCCAATCCATCCATTGAGAGACAATATGCAAACAAGAACAATATGTTTACCAAAGTATTCAATTTTCCTCTTTCTGCTCAAGTCAACTAATGACTCATATCTGATTCAGCAGGAAGTTCAGAATTAGTATGATCTTATTATATATCGGATAAAAATGTTATTTTTTTAACAAAAAACTGTAAAGCCTCAATATATAATGTGCCATTTACTTAGCCTCAGCTGACATCTACGCCCTCCAATTTTGGATGTGCACAAGTAAGTCATTAAACTTGTGTAAAGTTGAACAAGTAGACATATGCGTCCTACGTAGCGTTCTACATAGCAATTTAAGTCCTACGTGGTGGTCTATGTGTGTTATGCCACATAGGATACATGTGTTTACTTGTTTAATTTTATACGAGTTTAAGTACCTACTTATGCACAAAGCACACCAAAACTTGGAGGGCATAAATGTCAACTGAAGCCAAATTAAAGGACACGTCTATGTATTATGATAATTGTATATATACGTTCGAGCCAAAAGCTATGAATTCAGTTGAACCTACCCTAGGTCCGCCTTTGTAGAGTTGCATGAACCAAAAGTCAAGAATCAATGTCATATTATTTTTCCTAAATGAAACAGAGAATAATTAGCAAGTCAACTATTATGATATCACACCCTCAAAAACAATCCCTCCACGTTGATTCCTTATGCAGTCAACACACAAAAATAGGGATAGGAATGGGAATAAATATTGAAAAATCAGACCGACTCAAACTAATTTGATTCTTCGATTCAATTTTTTTTCGAAATTTCGGTGGATTCAGAAATGGTTGCTTATGAAAAGAGTAAAAATCCTTTAAAAGAATCCGTGTTCTCATCTTTAAAAGACTACAAGAAAAAGGGTTATTAGGGACTAAGATTTAGCAACGGAATATAAAATATGGTCCTTAATAAGGATGTCAAATATGACCCAAAAGTTGTTGGTTCACTCAATTCGTCCAAAATTTTATGAATTGGTATAAGATAATTTCATATTAGGCTGATTTTAGCTCAACCCAACATAATCCATTTTAAAGTGATCTTCAATTTAGCCCAATTCTACCCCATATTTAAGATTTACTTTAATTTGTATTAAACACTTGTGATTTAGTATGATTTTTGTATGAGTAAGAGCTTAGGTCTCGAGTCTCAGATTTGTGGTCTCGGTTAGGATAGGGTCCCGAGTTAGGGTCAGTTCTCGAGTTTCAAATTAGGGTAGGGGATCGAGTCCTTGGTTAGGATTGAGGCTCAGATCCCGGGCCAAGGTCAGGTCGAGTCTCGAGTCCTGGGTCAGGATCAGGTCTCAAGTCTCAAGTTCCGAATCAGGCTAGGTTTCAATTTTATGTCATATGTGGCATAACACACATAGGACACAAATTGTCATATAGGATGTCACGTAGGACATGTGTATTTATTTGTTCAATTTTAAGTGTCTACTTATGCACACTCAAAGTTGAAGGGCATAAATATAAAATGAAGTCAAGTTAGATGACATATTTATGCCTTTAAATTAGAGTGAAAAGAATGGAATATTTATTAGGAAATGTGGAAGGTTGTAGCAAATTGAAGAGATTTGTGAAGATAATAAAGTGTTCCCACCTAAATATGAAACTCAAAAACCACCACATAAACAAAATCACACCTTATCCCATTAGGAGTGAAAGAGAATCAACCTAATTAGTAATCATGAGGAAACAAACAATATGACCATTTCTTCTCTTCTTCTTCCTCCTCCTCCTCCCCCTTTCATCAATTACAATAACAATAATAATAATATCAATGGCAAGTCTATTTCCATTCATCAACCTCATCGATTTTCATTCCGAGGTAAAATGACAAGTTTAAAGTTTTTAAAATTATTATCAATTTTAAAAAAAATACTGAATTCAGTTGACCCGATATCCTCTAAATGTTTTGTTGAATGTGTGTGTGTGTGGCAGTTATCAATGATTCGAATAGAACAGAGTTAGCTACTGAAGATGCAATAGCAGATAAGCTGATAGATGGAATGGATTTTGGGGAATTGTGCGATGAATTTGAATGCATTAGTAGCCCTTCTGTGGAAGCTACTGCTAGGCAGCTTGTTCGAGATATTCTCGAACTACGTGAAGGCAATCGTGCCCTCGGTACCTTTGCTGTCTCTGTCAAGTATAAGGTACGTGTATATATGTTGAGATACTCGTAATGGTGTGACCAGTGGCAGAGTTAAAATTTTTAATAAGAGGTTCAAAATCTGAAGAAGTAAACATACGAACTAATCGGGGTTCGACATCTATTGTATATACATAAAAATAATTTTAACCATGGGGTTCGGATGAACCCCTGACATACTGCTGGCTCAGCCCATGGGTGTGACGCTTTTGAAGGAACAATAACTTAACATGTTTTATGTTGTCAGTGTATATAAGTTCATAACTAATTTGATATGACATTGACAAACAAGCAAATAACTTGTGTAAAATAATCAAATTTCAGTTATTATTGAGTTATGATTGCGTCTAACTCTCTCTCTCTCTCATATATATATTTGCTTAAACAACAACATACCCACACAGTGTAATCTCACAAGTCCCTATTTGAGAAGGGTAAAATATACGCAGACCTTATAGTCCCTATTTTGGGGTGGTAGAGAGGTTGTTTTCGAAAGACCTCAGTCTCGAGTGCAACAAATCAAAGTATTTATGAAAAATAGGAATACGATGGTAGGGAAAACATGACATTTAATAATGGGAGCAGTACAGAGCATCCAGAGAAAAGACGACGTAATACAATGAAATAATGATGTGGTAACTAAAAATAAAATACATGTACATGACTAATAATACTACTACAAACACAATGCTCCCACCAAAATACAAGTCAAAGTTCAACTATCTACAAATCTTCTACTCTAATCTATGACCCCTCAAGTTGCTCCATATATAAATATAATGTACTGTGTCACACAATGAAATGCAGGATCCAGTGAGAAGTTTTACAGGACGAGACAAGTACAAGAGACCATTATGGATAACTGATGCACTGCAGAATCCTAAAACGGTAACATTTTAACATCTCTTTCATTTCTACAAGTTTTATATATAAACGAGGACATATATATATATATATATATATGCAACAATCAACATATTATGATTGTTTTAGTATAGTTTTATTTGTCATCTGATATATCGCCAGAGGCGTATCTAGAGGGGGTGCCGTGGGTTCACGTGAACCCATGCTCCCCTCTCTAGATCATATATAGTAGTGTTAGATTTTTTTAAAAATATTTAAATATAGATGTGTGAACCCATGTTCAAAGTATCATATAAAAATGCGATGATGATTGGGTGCACTTCTCTAAGTGAGATAGAAATTTAAATCTTATATCTATCTTGTCTCTTTGGGTAACACTTTTCCAAGTGGTTATCAGTTACACTTTTGTCGTTTCAACTCATTTTTCTTTTGTTTTTTTCCTTTATTCTTTCAAAAATTTCAAGTGTGTTACATTGAGAATTCCTAAAAAATTTAGCATTGTAAATTTTTTATATAATTAAATCAAATGTGTATATTAAAATTTAAAACTAGTAGTATTATATATTTTGGACCTATAATTTTTAAACTTTAATGATTCATATTACGAACTAAAAGTCAAATCGATTAAATTTATATTAGAGATACATTTTTTCGTAATCGTGCATCCATCTAACCGAAATTCTGGATACGCCTCTGGTATCATGTATGCACATAATCGAAGACTCATGTGAACGTTGGACTCTTTACAGATATCGTCATCATGATTTGCAATTATTAGCTTCCACATGACACTCTGATTATGTAGCTAATCCCCTTACATGAACTTAGGTCGTTGCACCTTTCTCTCATCAGGAGTAATCTATAGCATTCAGTAACACTGTATTGTATATATCGTTATCATGATTTGCAATTATTAGCTTTCAAATGACACTCTAATTCTGTAGCTAAGCCCCAGACATGAACTTAGGTCGTTGCACCTTTCTCTCATCAGGAGTAATCTATAGCATTCAGTAACATTGTATTGTATATATCGTCATCATGATTTGCAATTATTAGCTTTCAAATGACACTCTGATTATGTAGCTAAGCCCCTGACCTAAACTTAAGTCGTTACACCTTTCGCTCATGGGCAGTGGCGAATTTAGAGCCAAAAAATAGGGCACCGGCACCCGTGGTCTCTTCGTAAAATTAGATATTTTATATATATATATATATATATTTTTAAGATTTTGTATAATATTATATTCTGGCACCCGTACTACAAGAAGTCTAAATGGTCCACATGGTTAATGTTGAGCTTTTGACCTTGAGGATTAAGGATCAATTCTCACTTCAATACATTTTACTTGGTGCACCCATGTTCGAAAAATCCTAGATTCGCTTCTGCTCATGGGGAGTCTATAGCATTCAGTAACATTGTATTGTATTGCTATGCAGAGTGTGCAAGAAATGGTGATGTTATCAACAAGTGTGTTGAATATTAAGTGGACAATAAAAGGAAAAGCAAAGTCATTGATTGCTAGCATAGGAGGGGATTTGATCATCAAAGTAAATTCAAGATTCACTTTGAATCAAATCAGTGGACAAGTAGTTGAGCATGAAGAGCAATGGGATTTATCAGGATCATCCATCATTGCTCAAACTTATTTCTGGGCATCGCGACGACTATTCGCCACTGTTGAAGCTGGAAAAGATGTAGCTGATTTTGTGAAAGACTTGAGTTCTAAATCTGCTAAAGAGAATAAAAACATGGATGTTTATCCTGACCCTTATGGTGATCCAGCAAAGGTATTTCTTCTTTATAAAGTCTCAAATCTTGAAATTATGCTACTTTTATCGTCCTAATTCTTAGATTGCAATAGGGCAAGGTAGGTCAAGAGGTGGATAGTAATATTTTTGGACCAAACTATTGATGGCGGAGTCATTTTTAGATCAAACCATTAATTGATCGACTGCACTTTTGTTCAATTTCACATAGCTAAGGACATTTTTTTACCCTTTTTCGTTTAGATTATTTAGTGCATAATACATAAATAAGTCTTTTAACTTGGCCTCGGTTCACATCTAATGCCCTCCAATTTTGGATGCGCACAAGTAGATACTTAAACTTGTATAAAGTTGAACAAGTATACACATGCACTACAACAAAAAAACCTTTTAGCGGCAATAAATATACGCATTAAAAAAGAGTGTTAAAGCCTTTACCGGCATTAGTTAATTGATATTGAATCCAATGTCACTAAAGGCTCTAGGGACATATATAGAGAGTGCTAATTGCCGCTAAAAGTACATATTTAGTGCAATTAAGCTATTGCCGTTAATTAATTACCGCTAAAGATCATTTTTGATGTAGTGATGCGTCTACATGGCATAATACAAGTAGGATGCCACATAGGATGTCGTGTAGGATGTGAATTGCCACGTAGGACGCCAAGTTTGACGTGTGTATATACTTGTTCAACTCTATACAAGTTTAAGTGTCTGCTTGTGCACACCCAAAATTGGAGGTTATAGTTTTCAGATGAAGCCTAGTTAAATGGCACGTTTATGGACTGCCTTATTTATAACATAGAAATGTCTATAATTTGATTTAAACTACTAATTTTAAAAATCTTTTTTCTCTTAAACTATACGCGTTTGCAGTCAAATATCACCTCATAAATTGTGACAAAAAAAAGGTACATTCATAGGGAGTTATAATTTTGGAGATTATGTTTATATATGAAGAAAATTTTGCAAAATTTGATCAGACAAAAACTGTGTACTTGTATGAGGATGCAGTTCTTTCAAAGGGATGACAGCTTCCAGAGAGATTTTTACCAAATTGCATTGCTGCTGGCAGTTATATATTTTGTCGTACAGTTCTTGAGGGCAACTTTATGAGACTCATAATTTTAAGTTGATATAACATTTGTATAATTGTAATTATTAAATTCATGTTTCTATATTGATACATATACATACTTTGGGGAATATATATCACTTCAAATTTTATTTCCTTCCCCTTAATACAACTCAAACAAAAGATTATGTAACATAGTTTGAATTTCTAGAGTCAAACAAAAAAAATCTTTGATCGTGATTTATTAGTATGCTTTTTAAATTGTTAATTTATTATGTAGTTTTTATATATGTAAAATATTTTTCAAAGATTTTAAAGATTGTATGTCTGAATATATGGTCAACATAAAAAACGAATTGAATACTAATTACTCCTCTAGCCTCTGTTTATTACAAACAAAATCCCCTGAGTCTATGTAATCCCTTCTCCAATAATATTCTGATTTGCCAAGTCCTTTTTTTGGTATGTCTACCTCCTCTTTTGGTACCATATAAGTTGTGGTGCAGTGGTGAGACTGTTTCATCCTTAGCCATAGATCTCAATTCCGAGTCCTGAATATAGAGAAAATCATATTAGAAGTGTCACATCCAAATGAAACTTGTACTACACGATCCAAATTTAGTCGGGACTCTGATATAGACTTCGGAGACCGGGTGGGAAACTAAAAAAAAAAACTCTTTTCTCCTCCAATTGTGTCATCATTCTCTTTAGTGATCAGTATTATGTTGGAATATATTCAATCTAATATTTGTGCCTGAAAGTATATTGTTATATATTTTTATGAAAAAAATCAACAAAATGAAAGAGAGGGATATATAACATAAACACTCATACACAATGTTCACTCTGCTTGCAAATGCAGCCTGAGGCTGAAACAACACTTCTTATCTAGCACTCATAAATTAGGAAATACATTAACATGGCATCCTCATAAAAACAAAACAAAAAACACCAATTGATTTACATTAATATTGAAAATACTCGTGAATAACATCAAAAAAAAAAAAAAACTATCCTATCAAGCATTTGCTTGCATCTCTTCACTATCATCTTCTATCACATGGCCCAAGAGAACAGGCAGGGAAACAAAATGAAACAGAATAAGAAAGGAATACTTAGACCAACAGCATCTACGAGAGGTCGGTCCCTGTGTGTTAGAACAGAAGAGAAACTGCAGAACTTCTGTTTCATCAAACCAGTGTTGTTTGTATTTTGTGTAAAATGTCAAGAATCATGTTGATGAGGTATAAGACTTGTTATTCCAAAGAATCATCGAATTGCGGAATCTTATGGTACAACAATGACTCCCTGTACAGTTTTTTGTCTGGTATCTCACTTCAACAAATTGCATAGGAGGGAGATTACTAATATGAAGAACGTAAAAACCATTCTTGAATTCAACGTAGAAGCTGATGAAATATTGTGAGCACCTACAGTATACACCTTCCCAGAAGTTCCATCTCTGACTTTGATGCTCGAAGAGCCTGACATAAAACAATTAAACAAAAAAGACACTGTTTAGAATACGTCCCATCTTTAATGCAAGTCTTCCAGTAAAGTATGGACAACGTGCTGAAAACAGAAGATTTTATCATATTGCTAAAGATAGTCCACACATGAGGAAGAAGTTCTGATTTCGAGTTTCACTGCCACTCATTATCGAAAAAGAGAATCACGTGTTTGGCCCATGATAAAGAATCAAGCCCACACGTGATGGAGCATACTGGGATATAATATGATAAAATAATTAAAGACGTGCTCTCTCTAACCACTTAAGTTTTAATAAGAGTTGGTCATCATCCTCAACACATACAACATCCATTCTCTAAATCTTTTTCCTCAAAAGTTAGCCTCCATAATTATATCTCTAATTGGCCAAAGAAAAAGGGAAACCTAATCATATAGCTAGTTTATATAACTACTATATAATAATAATAATAAAAATATATATAAATAAAGCCATTAACAGGCATTTAACATGCATGTGAATCCTCATCAAAACACAAATCTTACAGTGTATAACATGTAAACAAAATAAGGAAACACCAGTATCGCTTAGTATTGGGTGCTTGTCGAAGTACTAAAGGTTTAAGTATGCCCAGATAAGTGGTGCACTACTGAATGAAGGAATGAATTAAGGTCTTCGCAAATGTGAAGTTACTATGAGTGACATGAGAAATCCTGCTGCATGTGGCAGATATACCTTCGCCATGATTTTATACAAAATAATCTCTTGTGGTTCATATTAAAAAGCTTAGATTGAGGCATCAAGATAAGGTGTAGATAACTATGGGATGGACATGCAACAACTTGTGATGTATCATGTAAAAACTCAAAGCATGAAATTTCATATCCTCAAAAGTTAACCGTCTCTCATAGACATTTCCAACAAGGAAACATAATTATTAACCAAGACCCTACTGAATCATACCATCGGGGTGTGGTGCGATGGATGGGTCTCTCCACCCTAAACCAGAAATTCTGGACACGATCCTGAGAATGGATAAACCCCCGAGGAGAGCTCCCCCTTAAAATGGGTCATACATGGCGCAAAATCTGGATTAAATTAGTGATGTAAGTTCACAGTCATCTCTCAATTTAACTGTGCGGATGTCCAATACGGATGCGGGTGTCCATGAAGGCTAGTAAGTAGTTGAGCGTTATACGTAATATTTTAGATGAGATAGTCACATAGTTCAATAAGTTGAATTGGTCCATTTCTTCAATTTTTTCCAAGACAACAGCTGACTATCTTAGGTCAATTATTTCTGGAGACTCACATGAAATGATTCGATCAACTTAATTACTTAAATGCAAAAGGAACTCTGTATGTGTCACTCAAAAATTTCCCCTAACAAGGCAACATAAAGAACCCAGAGCTAACTAAAGGTCAAACGTAAAATCCATCATATGTCTGAAGAAGAGAATAATTGGTACTATTTCAATAAGGAGAACAATTTCTACACAACTGACTGATAAATAAGTTAATAACTATTAAATCCTTGAATAAAATGGTAAGGCTAAACTCACAGTTATATTCAGTCCAGCCAATACTCTGGTTTTCAAGATCATAAAGCACAAGCTTGTTGGATAACACAAGATCTGCATCAAAATATCAATAAACCAATCAATGAAAATGCTGTCAACTGTATGAAAATGCTGCATCCATTTAGTCATCTCTAGTATCTTAGGATGGCAACAAGCTTAACTAACAATATGTGAAAATGACACTACACTGCCTTGTACTCGCACTTGCAGGAACTAACACTAAACTGAAAATTGACACTAGTTGGGCAAAATGTAATTTTCATAAAATTAGTTATAATTCTGAAATGTAGTTCACCATCAAACTGATTTACTTTTTTTTTGGGAAAGTAAGCTGATTTACTTTCATATACTGTTACTGGTCAAACAATACCTCCTAACAGAGTTATTTCCTTTCCATCCTTTGTCTGCATTCCACTGTCCTGCCAACCGATACACCACTCGTTGTCCTGCAAAATTATGAAGCAAAGGGGTTTGTAAGTCATGTTATTCAAACTGCAATGCAAGTGCATCCAGTTGCTTTCTCCTCCCATGAACCTTACAACAAAGGTCGCTGCCATGTTGACCCATCTTTTAGTACCCTGTTGTTTGCATTGGACTACACATAATTTATAACAACTGAATGAATTTAATGGTAAAAATTCATGGAAATTAGATAAACTCATGCCAACATTTCCAATGTCAACAACATAGTATAAACATCACCAGGCAAATCAAACAGCTCACGAATGCTAGGAACAAATCTAAGATAAGAAGACATTGAAGATCAATCACTTATGGGAGAAATTCGTGAATTCCAACAAAGATAATGTCTGTGTACTGGTTACTGAATTCCAACAAGATTATGACTTGAAAAAACAAGTAACTGCCACAGCAGTCAAAGGATACAATATATGTTAACAGGGAAAAGGAAGGTTTTCTGGGTAAACTAGAAAATCTTATCTGATTAAATGAAGAAATAGTAGGAGAAATTCAGCAAAGCCAGATTACTTACATTAACCGAGAAAAGATAATCATGGGGATAAACTTTCAAAGTCAGAGAATTAGCAAACTGAAAGGTTACAACTGGGAAACCATCATCAATCCTGCGCCACCAGAGGAAGAGTAGTTGAAAGAGATGAAGATTAAAAGTTATTTATAGCAACTAACTGAATTACAACAATTAATAGCTGGAGAACTGGATTAAAATAAGAATGGGTTACAGAGCATTATTATTATTAATAATTAAGATCTAACCACCACTGAATTAAAGACATTAATACATCCACGCATCCATCATGAAAATAGAGTTGAGAATACGATAGCGAAGCGGCTAATCACAAGAAACCAGAATTTTAAGAGAAGGTCAAATGAGATAATGGCATCTACTCAAAAAACCTGCAGAATACCCTTATCAAACAAATAAAAAAACTGCAGAATAATGATTCTATTGTCGGTGAACTCACTTTACGCAGCATTAGCATTCAAAGCTAAAGAAAGAACCATAGTGGAGAGGGCACTATGTTATAGTGTACATGATCATAGAGGGAGAAAAGATAGATATCACAAACCAAATCCTAACAGAAAGAATTAAGATATTCATGTGGAGAGGGTAAAAAGAACCTTACTTTTTACTGAAGTAAAAGCAGTGGAAGGTCCCCTCGACAAGATGAGTTGTCAGATCTGGTTGCCGAGCCATCAACTACAGTAACAGACAGAATGAAGAATCAAGCAGGAGGAACTGACGTATTCATGCATACATGCAGTTTTCAAATGTCCAAACCTACCTTGCTCATGAGAGCATCATAGACCTTGTTAGGAAGATATGCTAACGTTGTACCGCTGTCAATAATTGTTCCTCTGTTGGATCCAGCATCAAATATAGTGGTTGGGATGTTTAGAGCTTCACCATTAACCTCAATTCCTTTCATGACAACATTATAATGTGGCCTAAAGTGGAAAACATATATAATTAAAGTCAAGAAATAGAAATGGAGGGAGCCAATTTGATGTTTAGACAAATACTGATATTTAACAGTAAAAAAATGATGGTTTAACAAAAAGTAAAAAGAAAAAGCAAGAGAAGTGAATGACGAGAATAACAATGCAAAAATGACAATACAGTTAATCAAACATGAATGCAAGTACTGAAGTTTACAATATGCACCACCTACCAGTAGTCAAAATAACTTTGAATTTCTTTTTCCTATTTGTGGATGAGTTAACTAATGTCATTTTTAGTACCAAAAAGATACAATACAGAGGAAGGCTCGAGATTCCAACTTTAGACTTGAGAGAGCTTTAAATTACTTCAAGTTCTTCTGTGAAATGTTGTAAGTCGAACACTAATGTGTCTCAGAGGAAGGACTGGACCATTTGAACTACTGCCTTTACCAAAGGAAATCACCACGTTCTCTTGAGGTCTCAACTAACTGTTTTTAAGGTCTCTAAACAAGTTTATTTGCTACCACATTTTGGACTTTGCATGTGTGCACTTATCACTTGACAACTGGTCGCGGCAGCTTCCATCTTTAATGTTGTCAGTAGATAGTAATGTAGGCAAATCATCGATGTTCCTACCCTTCCCTCACCCCCACCCCCATCAAAATAGATAATTTTTGGGGTAGGGCGAGGCGAGAGATTGGAGTAACCTAAAACTTGACTGCTTGGTCCCACATGTAGATCGCGAAATGCTTAAGAACATAATTGGAGTGAGGGCAATGGGTGAAGCAGATGTGCAAAGGAGAAGATCATATGCCAGTAAACAACAATAAGAAATGAAAAATCTAGAACTCATAGCAACTTTGTGGCGGTGCTATTCATGGCAGGAGAATTTTAAACACCAAACATACACATGTCACACAAGAGAGGCGATAAGAGGTTGCCAGGACTGGTGACACCTTCCTATTTCCGCACTCTTTAGTTTTCATCTAAATTAATGAGGCAGTTTAAATTTACTCTAGATTAAGAAATGAAAATTTAAAGAAAAAGATCATTTGGAGACTTGTTTTCTTTTCTTTTCTTTTTTTTTTTTTTTTGTGAAGTAAATGTTCCATTGAAGGCATCAAGAAGATGCAAATTAGTTACAAAAGTAGAAGCAAAAACAGTTGGTCTGCTGGCTCAAGTACAATTATGCTAAAACTAAGGAGCCAACAAAATTTGAAAAACTATCCAGGGAATCTACATAGGACAAATTAACCCAACTGTACAGACACATAAGGCATTCCGCTTTGAGAGAATGTAAAGGAGTTGATAGACCTTCAAAACATCTTCTGTTCCTTTCCCTCCAAATACTCCAAAAAATTGCTGCAGGTATCATCTTCCAAGTCTGTTTGATGGTGCTGTCAACTTTCCAGCAACACCAACTCTCATAAGCTTCTTTGATACTATGTGGCATGACCCAACTGAGTCCAAAAAGAGAGTAAAACATGTTCCACAGTTTTGAGAGTCTCTTTTAGAGTCTTATCCAAATACTCCAAAAAATGTAAAGGAGACTTGTTTTCTTTTTGGTAAGGAGAAATGGATTCTTATGATATCCTTTTAGGAGTCTCTTTTAGAGTCTTATATAGTTCATATTGTACACACTCTAGCTTGATATCTTAACATAAAATTAGTATTTTCTCCAAAAGTCTGCTTTAATAGAATATTTTCATGTATTGGGTAATTTCCTATATTTCCTGAATTCCTGCCGTCTGTTCACAGAAACCAAAGTCTTACTAAATTCTGTTTCTTTTAAAGAGACTGCATAGAATTAAATAATTTGAACTTTGAAGTAAGTAGAAGCATATTTGCATTTGTTCTCAAATCGGTTTATGGAATTCTCAACTGGAGCCTTCAACAACTATGAATAGCTTTTCATAGCAATTTGTTTCCTTTGAACTGCTATACAATTTAACCCACTTCTATTTTTTCCCACTTCTTTCCATCACTGAGAACAGTCTTCATGTTAAACTTTTCTCCAAGAATTTTCCCCTTAAATCCATTTAAAGCAATAGTTTCTACCCTATTCAGGACTAGATCTACACTAATTCCAGCTCGGGGGTTGCTATAGATCAGTTATCTACTCATGTAATCTCCTTTGAGTTTTGATAGATGGCTGTGTTTTTTTTACTTCAAAGATTGAAGATCAAGATCAAGATTTCATATAAGAAAAGATCCCCAGTTAAATTAAAGTTGCTCAACCGAGCACTAAAACCGCTAATACAGCATCCAAGACTGGGTCAGCTACTATAAATTCACCTACCACTTACTCTGTCAGGCTCGGATTCCCATCCAAGCTAGACCTGGTTGAAGCAAGCTACTCCTCTTGAGAGAGGGGTATAGGTAGTGATTAGTGAGTCTTCTCTTTCTCCTTGGTCTGAGGTCGAGTTACTTCTCATAGAGGAGGAATTCAAAACAATAGGCGGTCTATGAGGAAAACAATAGGTGGTTGATTGTTGAGTCCCCACGTCCACATCAGTTCCCTCCTTGTTACTTCCCTCATACAAGACCAAATGAAAATTTCCTATGAAAGCATATGTTCTTTGATTTCTGAGATATTTCACATAACTCATTATGGATATTCTATCATAAATCCTTGCATGCATGCATATGGATTGTGCTCAATAGGATATGAATTGTTTAAACCTACCAATAGAATGTGAAAGGATGCAAAGCTGGAAGAATGGAGCACAAATTTACAGACCAATGGTTGCAATTTTCCTTATTTATAGTGGAGCAGAATAGGAGAAACTATATACAACTTCAAATAAGACGATACCAAATCTTAGTTCAGGATCATGTCAGATGTTTGCGTGAATAGCCTATTTTTCAGTCTCCTTTTTCTTTTTCTTCTGGGGGAAGGGGTGGTGGTTAGGGGGGAAGCAGGGAAGAGGAAGAGAAGGCACTAAATATACTTACTCATTTGGGACTAGTGGTGTTGACTTTACTTTTGGCTGAACTACTTGTCCAATGGCAAATATGCCGCCACCATCACTGCTGTCTAGGCAATGTGAAAAAACTTTGTTCACCTTCCCAGATGCAGCTAGCTGTGAAATAAGCGATGAGTTTGCTTGTCCAAAACCAATTATTCCGTCAACCGCTTGAGTAGATGAGCCTAGCTCTCCTGATTGTCTAGATGAGCACCTATCTTGGATCAAAAACATGTAAGTTACATAAATGTCATCAAGAGATAAACTACTTGCTAAAAAGTAGTACTCCATCACAGGCTCGAGTAGCATAATTTACATCTAAGAAACCAACATACTATATGGTGACAAAACCAGAATTAACAGTTATAGGAGGAGACAGTACAGAATAAAAACCATTGAAAATAATCGGCTAGGAAGAAATTACTTCATTGGATATATTAATGAGTGCCGCTGTCAGTAATTCCTCGCTAAAAAAAGTGAAGGGAGGAAAATATTACAGAAGCTAAACACTTTTAATTAATATTACAGAAGCTAAACATTAACACTATAACAACCTATTCTGGATATAAAACTTTATCATGCTCAGTATACAGAATTGCAGAAAACAAATATAACATGTCATCAGCAGAACTTTTTATGTATTGACTTACCAATGATGTGTAAAGCACCTAATATAATAGAGCAAGAGACTGTGATACTGAAATTGTTCCATGAAGCCATTCAAGAGTCCACTTACTGAACTAACATAGGATCGGGAAACAATATACAAGAGAGTCAGTGTGAGGAGAAAACAGATTTCCCTTCTTTTTTTCTTGGTTCTTCACTCTGTAAACTAGTGAGTATTCATGATACTCCACTACATAAACTGCTACACCAATGCAGTCAATATCTCTGCTCTAGACAGTGTAATGACTTGTATACTCAAATGTGCATATCAACTACTTCTCACACGTTTCCTCAGCAGGGAACTTATTTAATATGGCATAACTAAGACCGAGACATTAAATAATTCTTATTCTAAGCATTTCCTTCCCCTGGTTCTTCAGCTCAAGAGAGGTTGAATTAAACATCCCAATTCAATTAGCAATTTAAATATCTACTTCAACAAATATGCAAACTGCACAGGTTTTACGTTTACTTGAAGTGCCAAATGCTGCTACTACAGCAAATCTATTTTTTAAAACTAAAATTGGTGAAAGAGAAAAATTTGTTTCTTTTCCCAATGAACTGCAACAGAATCTATTTTAACCAAAACCAGATTCCAAACATTGTTTGGAAAACAAAACATTCAGACAGGGTAGTAGAACTTGGTGAAGTGAAAAAATGGTTACCAAAGAAAACCAAAATATTCACCTATGGTAGTCATCCAAGTCTAACATCAATTCATTTGGCAACAATTAACATAAATAGATTTGAATTACAAGGATAAAATTACCCAAATGCTATGGACCCATTCATGGATGTGGTTTGAAGATCCCCAGAGACTTGATCAAAATGAATGAAATCCTTAACAAAGTATCCAGAAGTTGAGCTTCCATCTCCGTAAGTAACCTGATATTCACAGGGTGATCCCACTCTGCAATCTGAGTAGGGAGCATTAAACATATCAGTGCAGAAGTCTTGGTCGCAAGAAACACTTTTCCCAGTGGATGAGGCTTTTAAGTCATACAGCTTCAATTCTATCTGTAGTATAACAACATAGATGAGAAACCACAAGGACGGATCAAGAACAGAAAATTATGTTATACATACTGGAATCCATTTTCTTTACATGGATGGCAAAAAGATGCGTAAACTAGAAGAATGATCATACCCCAAGACTGCTTTTTGAAGGACATCTCATACAACCAGCACAATTCACCCATAAGATGTCACTTCCAGTATCTACCTGGACATGATAGTCCTTAGAAGGAGTCCCGATTGTAAGTTTAGTGTAATAGAGCCTGCATGATTTATTTATGAAGAAAACATGACTATAATTTCACTAGAAAGAATGTGCATACATGAATAACGCAACGCCACCACTGCCTCCTGCATAAGCACACTTTTCTTTCCTTTTTTGTGGATTGGATGAGGGTCACAATTTGATAGAGTGCCACAAATTAGAATCAAGAAAATATAATCTGACATATTTCTCCATAAGACCATAATATTCCTCCATCTCACTTAAGTATATACCTATAACTAGAGCCAATGGTGGAGCCAGCATTTTCACTAAGGGGATTCGAAATATAAAAAGTAAACACACGAAAAGGCCAAAAAGGGTTCACCATCTACGAAATATACCTAAAAAAATAATACTAACCATGTATAAATGGGATAAACTTTCCCGAAGGACTAGAGCAGAAACATTAACAAGTGAAAAGCTAACAACTCTATTTGTGTACCCTCTTCAACAATGAAATGGGAATTTTCATCACTAAAACAGAATCTCATTCCAAAGAGGAAAATTAAACATTCTGAGCATATAAAGCAGACCACTTTTGTCAACCAAGTTGATTCATTTCTACAATCACTTGCACCAATTATGAAAAAGGAAAGCCCCCTAAATACAAAATCCCAAGAAAACACAAGAATCAGTACAAACAAGTAGAATTAAACAAAGGGAACTAACGCTGCATCAGTAGGTTGGCCATTGCCACCCAATTCAAAGTCAACGGCTGCAAGCATTCTGCCATGGCGGCGACTATCATGAGCTTTGAGTTCCTTCAATATTGAACCTCCACGCCCACCATACTTGTGTTTCACATTAAAAACAACATTTTCTCCCTTCACTGCCACAGCCAAAACCCAAATTAACAACAGTAGCAAATACCCTTTTTTCCTCAGATCCATTATCACAACATACAAACACAACACACCCACTTCCCAAAATCCAATCTTTATAAACACCCACAAGAGAAAAATGGGATGTATGAATGAATGAATGGATCAAGAAAAGAACTTTTTTTCCTTTATACACAACAATACTAAAATATTTTCTTTTTTCTTGATTTGGACTGAGAGAAAGAGTCGGTTGTGAAAAACCCAAAAGGAAGAAAACAGGATACAGAACAAATATAGTAAATGGTGATTGGCGTCAAGACTCAGGACTCTTCAAAGTGTAATTCTTTATGCTAGAGACAATTTTCTTGGAAATTTTCGAAAGAAGAATAAAATAGTATAGTTATCTTTGAGGAAATGGGGTGTGTTCTGAAAACAGAGAAAGCTTTGTGATGATGCAATGGTGTAGCTCACGTTTGTCGTCATACTTGTCTGCACATTACTTTCTTCATACACATTTTCGCACTCCTCACCTTCTTCTTTTACTTTCTAGTTTTCTGTATAAAAAAAAAGTTGGCTACAATATAAAAGGGTGTCATTTAAGTTGGCATCAACTAACATTAATAGATATTTAAATTTGTATAAAATTGAACAAATAGACTGTAGGCACACATAGGATCGAATTGTCTGTTTACTTATTCAAATTTATAGAAGTTGAAATGTTTATTTGTGCATATTCAAAATTGAAAGGACATAAATGTCAGTTAAGGTCAAATTAAATATTGGCATAATACATAAATGTATCATTTAACTTTACCTCATTTCACATTTATGCCCTTCAACTTTGGTTATGCACAAGTAGGTACTTAAACTTGTATAACTTGAACAAGTAGACACATGAGTCCTATGTGGCACAATACACGTAGGACACCACGTAGGGCAAAAAATGGCATGTAGGGTGCCATGTAGGATATGTGTGTCTATTTGTTCAATTTTATACAAGTTTAAGTGTCTACTTGTGTACGTCCAAAGTTGAAGGGCATAAATGTGATTTGAAGCTAAGTTAAATGTCATATTTATGTATTATGCCTTAAATATTTATGGATTATTTTTCTATTGTCATAATACATAAACATGACCTTTAACTTGACTTCATTTGACAACTATGCCATTTAACTTTGGGTGTGCACAAATAAGCTTTTTAAACTTGTACAAAATTGAACACATAGACACATTGTCCTACATGGCACCCTACATGGCAATGTTGTGTCCTATGTGTATTATGTCAAGTAGGACATGTGTGTTGTGTGTCTATTTGTTCAATTTTATACAAGTTTAAATGTCTATTTGTGCACACTTAAAGTTGGAGGGCATAGTTGCCAATTAAAGCCAAGTTAAAGGTCATGTTTAAGTATTATGCATTTTCTATTAGATAATAAATTTCATAATTACTTGTAATTTATCTATCACCAAAGTATATGGTGCAGTGAATGCGACTGCTCCTACCTTAATCAGAGGTCTCAGAGGTATGAAAAAATCATTGGTAAAGAGCGCTAACCCTCGAATGGGGTCTTACTCGACGTGAATTCTGAATAATTAGACTCCAACATAAATATCGGACACCGAATAGAAAAAAAAAAGTAAAAAGAAAAATTGCATTGTCTAAGGGCCTATTTGGATTGACTTTTGGCTTATGACTTATAAGCCAAAAGCCATAAGTTAGGATTTCTAACTTATGGCTTTTGACTTATTTTTGTTATTTTGGCTTTAAAATAAGTGCTTATAAGCATTTTTTAACTTTACCCAAACACTTCAAAACTGCTTAAAAGCTATTTTGGCTTAAAAATCACCTAAAATAAGTCAATCCAAACGGACACTAATAATAAAAAGTAAAATCTTGTTAAAAGGTTTTGATAGATTAAGTTAAAAAGAAAATAAATACATTGTATCTTTCATAATTTCAAAAAGTAGTTTAGTACTAATAATTTCATAAGATAAAATTTAACTTGTAACAAGCAACATGTTATGTATAGTTCAAAATCTAAGTGGATACAATAATGTAAAATTTTGTATTCTGACATAATTAGCTAAAGGAGAAGCAAAATTTAGACTCTTGAAAGTCATAGATGAGTTGTTTAGTTAGTTGGACTATTCCTTAACTATTAAGGCAATATAAACAAGTTGAAAATTGCTTTTTGATGCAAAATTTTCCAAGTACGCGTTTTCAAATTGAGGGGGACTACTAAATAAATCTATAGCATACTATTTTTATTGTAAATATTGAGTTCTGAAACAACAAAGTAGAAAGTCAATATATATTAAATGCAAAAAAGAATATTTTCTCGAAAAAAATATATTCTATAAAATATATATTACAGATAACAAAGTGAAAATTCAACCTTTCATATATATATAAAGGGATTAAAACTTGATATTTGAGAGATGATAAGGGTCCGATTAATGTGAATATGAAAGAATAAAATGAAATAAGACATTCAGACTCTTATTATCATTTTTCAATCTAGTATAAGCATGTTTATGCATGTGATATGTTTTAACAATGCATGTATGGAGTGTAAGCACACAGCCATTATCACAAATACTCAACTTCTAAACATAGTTGAACACACAAGGCAATCTCAAGAAGATTAAGGATTAAGTAATGATAATTAATTAACACCACCGTACAAGTTACATTGCTATTAAATAATAGTAAATATTAATTAATTATCACTATCTAACAATGCTAATTAATGAATGATAAGTTTAATTGTTTTTTTACAAAAGTCAAAACTGTGAAGGTCCTAATTTATTTCTTTGTAATGTTGCTTTTACCTCCAAATTATGATATGATTAGAGCTTGACGATGTTAACAATCGAATACTGCTGAAGTGAACATGCCATGACAACTATTATCAAACAAATATAAAGTTAGAATATAGGACAACAATTGCACTTTAATGTTATCGATCATTGGTGTATGGTTAAAATCGATCTTGTCCAGGTGGACTAATGATATGAAAACATGTGTCCGATTACAAAGAGTCGAATGATGAGGAAACACCTTCGAGGACTGAGTCGAGGGAAACACAAAGTATTAGGATCAAAATAATCAAGTGTCATGCATAATCTAGCAAAGCAAATCTTGATTTCATCATATTTTTTTATTTTTACGTGCTTTTTTTGGATAATTTATTATATATAATTCTTTCATATGTATGTGAAACTAAACTTCTCATGATTCTACAATTATGATAATTAGATGATTATTATATTATTGTATGAATTTGACTTGACTTGGTAAGATAGTTATCATCATATATGACTCGAGAGGGGGGTTAAGAGAATGCAAAAAAGATCAAATAGAGCATGATCTTTGCCCCTTGGAGGGGATGGATTTATAACTAGGATAGAAATAATATAGAGTGTCACCTTGGTTTGCTTAATTAATGCAACATAAATTTATAATTGTTTAATTTGTGTCACAATAATCCTGATCACCAAGCAAAGGCACGGATTGAAAGGCTATGCAACTTGAGAGAGCATAGTCACAATAATTTCAGTTAATCAATAATTAGATAGAAAATTAGAGTCAGTTTAAATGATTATTCAACATGATTGCTAGATTCATAGCTCCATATCGATTTCAACTCATTTATCGCATAAAAATCTATTCGAAGGATTAATTATTCATTAGCTATTTTCTTTTTTAGTTTAGTTAATTCAACATGATAACTTTGAGATTTGATTGCTTTAATAAATGATTAGCAATTAGCATTATTATTTAATAAATAGTTAATCATAAGTCTTTGTAGATGTAATATTTATCTTTTTAGTCACTATATAACTTGACCATGTACACTTACATATGTATTTCCTGAAATATCATGTTAAGGAAATTTATATGACGAGTTTGAATAAACATGAAATTAAAGTTTTATGACATATTTATTATATTTGTAATATTGAAAGAAATTATTAAAATAATACCTGCACAGAAAATATCATGTTAAAAGGTTAATATTCAAATAGTTATAAACTATAGTTGATTTTTTTTAGCAACTTTCACATATAGCAAACACAAAAATCATATTTGTATGATATAACTATAGTTTGCATAATTGTGCTTCATAGCAAACATAAATATGTATATTTCGCTATACATATACAAAACAAAGCAGTTGTATATAATCTGTTTCTGTTTCGGTATACATATACAAAAGATCAATTGTATAATCTGTGTTTATATAAAGCGAGAAAGAGAGAAAGGTAAAAGAGAACTGGGCAGGGGAATATTTGTATTGTATAATTATAAGTGTATAGGACGAAGATATATGTATTTGCATGTGTATATACAATTTTCTCTCACTTTATACAAACAGAAACACAATTTATACATTTCTGTTTGTATAAGCTAGAGAGGCGAGGGAGAGACTGGCGAGCGAGATCTGGGAGAGTGGCGAGCGAGATCTAGGAGAGGGGAGAGAGAGGAACGAAAATATATGTATATATACAATTTTCTCTCGCTTTATACAAACAGAAACACAATTTATACATTTATATACAATTTTCTCTCGCTTTATACAAACAAAAACACATTTTATACATTTGCGTTTGTATAAAAGCGAGAGAGGCAAGGGAGAGAACGAGAGTGGCGAGTGAGATTCACCAGGAGAGAGGCGAAATAGCAACAGTTTGCCATGGAGTACAATTAAATCAAACTATGTTTATAGAATTTAATTTAAATTAATAGTTTGTTATTATATACAATTTTCCCATAGTTTTTTCAAGTAGTAGATTTCAGAAAATAATATAGTGAATAACATGACGTCAAATAGTATGTAAAATCTCAAACGAAAATAGAAAAATGTAACTTGATAAGGTAGGAATAAAATGTTTGAAAAATTAAAATAAAATAATAGTTCCATTGTTTTACGAGTAGATCCAAAATAAACATCTTACTCTTTAAAAAGTTTTAATTCTTTAAATTTATCAAAAATAAATATTATTGATCTCCTTCAACTTGTTAGATTTAGCGAAATCTGTGAAAATAATATTTTACCAAGAACATCGGAAATTTCATTAAATTCCCAAAAATAAAACATAAGAAATTACACCAACATAAAAGATAGTCTAAAACTAACTGTAAATTCTTCAAATAACTTTTTTTCACTATTCTCATTAAATTTTACAATTAATTTTATTAATTAGGGATATAATTAAAGGACTACTTTAGACTTTTTCTAAACATAAGGGACTATTTTTTTTTTCAATTTCTTCTAAAATACTTTGTAAAAGAAGTATAAAGAAAGCAAAGATATTTCATAAGTAAAGTTAAGAACAAAGTTGAGCAAAGGGAAGATGATGTAGACATTAGCCAGCAAAAAATAAGTTAGGTTGGGAAAAAGTAGAATATAGTAATGTGCATCCCCATTTCCAAATTCCAAAAAAAATGTAGGTCCTAACTCCTATATATGACCAATAATTTTTTCAAGTACTTCCTAATCCCTATGGTAATTATAATTTCATTTCATTTTTAA